TTGTGCATCTAGGAATTTATCCATTTCTTCCAGATTGTTTTATTTGTTTGTGTATAGTTTGTCTTGTTTGTAATGTTTTCTTATAATCATTTGTATTCCTGTAGTATCAGTTGTTACTTCTTTTTTATTTCTGACTTTATTCATTTGGGCTTTCTTTTTTTATTTTTAGACATTTTTAATTGTTTATTTTTTACTTGTAGTTTTCCATGATCATTTATCCCTCGTATACCCTCTTCCACTTCTACTCCCCTTCCTCCTGCTGTCCATGTCCTTGAGTTCTTTCTCTTTTTTGCTTGATTCCTCTACCCCTCTTCCCCGATCTTGCCCCAGAGCTATCATCCTGCTCTCTATCTATAAGCCTGTCTCTCTTTTGCTTGCTAGTTTAGTTTATTCATTAGATTCCACATATGAGTGAAATCCTACAGTATTTGTCTTTCTCTGACTGACTTATGTCACATAGCAAAATGTCAGTCTTGTCTATCTACTCAGAGAACCAGCTGTTGGTTTCATTGATCTTTTGTATTGTTTCTTTGACCTCTGTTTTTTTGTTTATTTTCACTTCTGATCTTTTTTATATTCTTCCTGTACTCATTTTGGGCTTTGTTAGTTGTTCTTTATCTATTCTTTTATGTGTAAGATTAGATTGTTTTTTTAAAGTGTTTTTTGTGTTTTGAGGTAGGCCTGTAATGCTATGAAGTTCCCTGTTAAGATTGTTTTTGTGGTGTCCCATGCAGTTTGAGTTGTTGTTTGTTTCTTCCTTTATTGTTAACCATTCATTGTTAACCCATTCATTTTTTGTAACATGTTATTTTAGCCCCCACGTATTTGTGTTTATTTGTTATGTTTTTCATGTATTTGATTTCTAGTTTTGTAACGTTGTGGTAGGAGAACATGCTTGATATGTTTTCAGTCTTTTAAAATTTATTTAGACTTCTTTTGTGTCCTTACATGTGGTTTTACCTAGAAAACATTCTATGTGCACTTGGAAAGAATGTATATTCTCTTGTGGTGAAATGCTCTAAAAATATCAATTAAATGCATCTGGTCTAGTGTATCATTTAAGATAGCTGTTTCCTTGTTGATTTCTTTGTGTGGAAGATCTATCCATTGATGTCAATGGAGTATTAAAGCCCCTTATTGTGACTGTATTCTTGTCATTTTCTCCCTTTATGTCCATGAAGCAAATCTTCATTGGACATAAGTGAATCTTCATATATGTGTGTGTGTGTGTGTATGTGTATATATACATGCATGCATATGAATGTATGTACATACATATGTATATATACATACACACACAAACACTACACACTCCTGTGTTAGGTGCAGAAATGTTCAGAAGGGTTATGTTTTCTTTTGGACTGACTTCTTTATCATTATGTAGTGTCCTACTTTGTTTCTTTTTATTGCCTTTGTTTTAAAGTCTGTTTTATCTGGTATAGGTATTGCTACCCCATTTTTTTTTTTGGTTTCCATCCGGCATGGTTTTTCTCTAAATGGATTAATTATCTTTTGTTACTCTATTTAACTGATTATGGAATGCATGGTGGTAAGTCTTTACATAAAGGAGTCTAAACAGAATATTAAGACATGGCCCTATGGGATCAAGATCAGAGAGTTGGAGACAAAGCCACATGTATTTACTTAAAGTAAATCTTTTTTTGAGATATTTTTTTTTATTTTTCAGTTGTGGTTGATATACAATAGTACATTACTTTCAGGTGAACAACATAATGATTAAACATTTGTATATCAAACAAAGTGATTACCCCATCTGATACCCGTACACAATTATTACAATATTATCGACTGTATTCCCTATGCTGTACTTTCCAACCTCATGATTATTTTGTAATTGCCCATTTGTACTTCTTAATCCTTTCATCTCTTTTTCACCTGGTGCTCCAACCCCCTCCCATCTGGCAGCCATCAGTTTGTTCTCTGTATCTGAGTTTTTTTCTGTTTCTGTTCATTTATTTTGTTTTGTAGATGCTACATATAAGTGAAATGATATGGTATTCCTCTTTCTCTCTCTGACTTATTTTACTCAGCATAATAAGTCCATCCATGTCACAATTGGCAAGATTTCATTCTTTTTTTTGTGGCTGAGTCATATTACATTATATATATGCATCATTTCTGTTTTATCCAGTCATCTATTGATGGACACTTTGGCTATTTTTTTATACCTTGGCTATTGTAAATATTATTCCAGTGAACATGTGGATGCATATACCTTTCTGAATTAGCATTTCTTCAGATAAATACCCAGAAGTGAAATATTTGGGTCCTTCTTTGTCTCTTATTATAGGCTTTTTTTAAGTCTATTTTGACTTGTATGTGTGTAGCTGCCCCAGCTTTTAAAATTTTTCCATTTTTATTAAATAGCTTTTTCCAGCCCTTTACTTTCAGTCTGTGTATGTCTATGAATCTTTATAAAGTGAGTCTTTTGTAGACAGTATATATAAGGGCCTTGTTTTCTTCTCCGTTTATCCACACTACATGTTTTTTAAACCTAATAGCCCCCACCCCAAGTAAGAATATTTCTTAACTTTTCTATTACAATTTATATTCAATACTATTTTGTGTTAGTTTCAAATGTGCAGCATAGTAGTTAGACAATCATATACTTTACAAAGTATTTCCCACTCTGTGTCTTTTGATTGGATCATTTAATCTATTTTCATTTAAAGTGATTATTGATGGATAAGTAGTTACTGTCACTTTATTTTTATATTTTTGTACTTTTCTTTCATCTTCTTAAAATAGTTCCTTTAACATTTCTTATAATACTGCTTTGGTGGCGATGAACTTCTTTACTTTTTTTGTGTCTGAGAAACTCTTTAACTCTCCTAGCTTTTCATCACTTTGTATATTTTGTGTCACTCCTTTCTAGCCTGCAAAGTTTTTGTAGAGAAAACAGCTGACAGTCTTATGGGATCTACCTTGTAAGTTAACCATCTGCTTTTCTCTTGCTATTTTTAAGATTCTCTTTTTGTCTTTAGCCTATGGCATTTTAATTCTGATGTGTGTTGGTGTGAGCCAATTTTGGTTCATCTTGTTTGGGACTTTATGTGCTTCCCAGGTTTGTATGTCTATTTTCTTCATAGATTAGGGAAGTTTTCTGTCATCATGTCTTCAGACAAGTTTTCAGTTTCTTGTTCTTTCACTCCTTCTGATGACTGCCTCTGTGATGCAGATATTTTTATGCCTGATGTTGTCCCAGAGGTCTCTTAAAATATCTTCAATTTTTTTTCTTTTTTCCTTTTAACTCTTCTGATTGGGTATTTTTGCTACCTTGTCTTCCAAATCATTGATTCAGTCCTCTACTTAATCTAATCTATTGATTTCCTCTAATATTTTCTTTATTGTAGACGTATTTTTCGTTTCTGACTTTTTCTTTTTTGTTTTCTATATCTACTTTAGTGTTTTCTTTCTCGTTGTTGATGTTCTCACTGAAATAACTGATCATCCTTACAACCAAATATTTTAAATTTTCACTGGTAGATTCCTTGATTCCATTTTGTTTAGTTTTTTTTTTTTCCCTGGGGTTTTGTTTTGGTCTTTCATTTGGGACATTTTTTTGTTTATTTGTTTCCTCATTATGGTTGTCTTTCTGTGTTTGTTTCTGTATATTAGACACTGCTATGTCTCCTGGTCTTGGTACCTTATGTAATACATGTTATATGGGCCCAATGGCACACGGTCCTTGGTTACCTGAGCCAGGTACTCCAGGTATGTCCCTTGTATGGGTTCTGTGCATCCTCCTGTTGTGGTTGAATCTTTACTTGCTGTCAGATGTCAGTGGGAGAGATTGACCTCTAGGCTGATTCGCTGTGAGTGCTGGCCATGACTACAGGTGAGGAGCTGTTGTGTAGGGATTGACTTTATGGAGCAGGATCCACTTTAGCACAGCTCTGGTTCTTGCCAGGTTTGCACTTTGTATGGTTTGTGGAGGTGGTTGGGTAGTGCTCTGTTGTGTTCACTGAAATAACTGATCATCCTTACAACCAAATATTTTAAATTTTCACTGGTAGATTCCTTGATTCCATTTTGTTTAGTTTTTTTTTCCCTGGGGTTTTACTGGGTGGATACTGGGAGTGTTGGTTCTGGAGCTTCTGGGGAGGTACAGGCTTAAATCACCTGCTTTGTGTGTCCTGCTTGGGACCACCTGGTATGTGCAAAGTAATCTTCAGATGGTTGCTACTTGTGCTGGGTTTGGAGGTGCCTGGGAGAGGCTGAGGTGCAAAGTGAAGCTGGCTGCCACTAGTGCCCAGCGTGGCACCATTTATCAAGTTTGTAGCGCATAGAGATGCTGCCTGTTTGTTGTTTGTGAACCTTTGAGAGATTTTAAGAAAGTTGGCAGCATGAACCAAGACAGGTCATTTGTATAGAAAAGCCACTGAAGTGGCTTGGGTGGGCCTGAGCCCAACCAAGATGGGTGGGGTGGCATCCCAGGAAATCATCCTGGTGGGATGAAGAGTGTGTGCCAGGCTGATGGAGATTCAGACTTGCTTCCAGACTGTGCCGACAGAGGGGGGGCTCAGAAAAGGAACTATGGCCTCTGCCAGCATGTCTGTCTGGGAGAAAGCCACCCCTCTAGCTCTCATCCTGATGCCATATGATTCATTTACTCCCCAATATACCTTGTGCCTTATGAGCTACTGCCCCAGCACTGGAGTTCAGAGGGAGTGAGTCTGAATAAATCTTTACACTGGTTCTTTAAGAGGAACACCTGGAATTCCAGTAGTCCCCATCTCACTCAGCCAAAATCCTTGCTGATTTTTATAGCCAGGGGTTTCTGACACTGAGACCCTAGCATGGGGCTGAGACCCTAGCATGGGGCTGAGACCCCTCATTCCTTAGAGTGAACTTCTGTAGCTGAGAACTCTCTCTCAATTTTTAACTGCCACATGTGGGTATGGGACCAGCCCATTCTGTGTCTCTGTCTCTCCTCCCAGTCTCGATGTATTTTTATGTTTTTGTTTTTATATTTTTAGTTACAGGATTAATGTTCAGGTGTCCTGAATGATGGTTGTTCTGTATTTAGTTGTAATTCCGATGTGGTTGTGGAAGGAGACAAATTCATTATTTACCTATTCCACCATCTTGACCAGATGCCATATAAGGTAAATAGTATTATTCAGTATGTATTGTGCTAGCCGCTGTAACTGATAAACCACAGATTTTCATAGCTTAACATTGTGAAAGTATACGTGGTCTTCCTTCATGTCAGTGTGTGTTCAGTGAAGTTCCACAAAGTTGTATTTGTCACAAGGAACTTGGGGTCTCCATGGTCTTGGGGGACAAGGAACAGGGAGCATAGATGATTTTTTTGGTCATGACTAGAAGTGACCGTCTTCTGATCACATCCATTGATCAGAAAGTAGTCAATTAGTCCTAATGTAAATGCCAGGAATAAGAAAATGAAATGGAATTAGTTACCATGTGGTCCTAAAGAATAGGTTAAATTGGTTTTAGCCACTAAGGTTTGAGCAAAATGAAGCATAGTACCTCCTGTCTTTGTAACGTACTCATCAGTGTATACCTTTGTTCTCCAAGAAAAGTGTTAACCCTGAGAGGCCTTTAATTTTTCCATGTTATGAGTACAATGTCTTTCATTGAAATCCAAGAAACAGCTCATCTTTTTTCTGGGTTTGGGCAGGGTAATTTGTTGATGAGCTAGATGTAGCTTACCTTCCTTCCATCACAAAATGAAGTATTTTACCTGGCATGGTGAATCTGTATACTACTCACAGATCATTTTTTATATGGTGCAACCTATTTGTTTCTACGGTTGGCCCTATTTTTCTCTTTAACTTCTAGACTTGACTAGTTTGGAGAAAAGAGTTCAGTGGTAGTGAGGACTAACTAAACCTTTCTACTTGCCATTTTCATGAACTTGACGACTACTTTGTGAACTAATTTTTATGTCTTAAGGAAAAATATGAAGTTGCTTTTAAGGCTTCTATTTTTAGTGTGTGTACTAACCTCAGTTTTTTTAAAAATCCAGAAGATGATATGAGAAATTTCTCATGAAAATTACATGGGGGAAAATATATAATAGAGTGCTTACTCTATGATGCTCTATTATTTTTAAAGATATATTTCTTCCCCCATCATCTTGTTGATCGTAGTAATTCACAGAAAGGAATTGAAATCTTCATCTTCTCATCAGTCTTTCTTTCTGCCGTCCTCCCAGCTCATTACAGAAGCTCATTGAGAAGCTTGGCAGGGCCAGTGGAGACGTGTAGTTGAGCTGGATGGAGGCTGGAGAGGTCTGCAGTGGCCAGATCACAAGCACTATGTAAGAGCCCAGGGAAAGGTTTTGATTTCTATCCTAAGAGTGCTGGGGAACCATGGAAAGTATGCATGCCAAGAGTGAGTGCAGAGTTAGTGTGTGCGCGTGTGTGTATGTATGCTAGAGAGTGAGAGAGAGAGAGAGAGAGAGAGAGAGAGAGAGAGAGAGAGACTGATTGATGGAAAGAGAGAAAACAATGATGAATGATAGTCACATTTGTTGTGTGCTTTGGCTGCTGGGAGCCTCCACAGAAAGGAGTAACTGTGAAGACAATATTGTACCCTGCTCCCAGCTGACATAATAGGTCTCCTCCCCACTTCTACACAGAATTTAACCTGTCTATCAGGAGCTTACCATCCCACTTTTAAAGCAAGCAATGCATTTCAGGTAAATATTTATGAAATGCCAAACTTTGTGAACAAGAGGTATTTCATTTTTAACAAGAGAATGACTCAGAATTGTTTTAAGTTATTAAAAGACAAATTACTGTGTGCCATCATGGAAAAAATGAGGAGAAACTGTAATTTTGCATCAAGCAATTTATTTACAGCTATAATCCTCAAACAACAAATCTTTTTAAATTACTTAATTTTTTAAAATCTTTTTTAAAAATTTTATTTATTTATTTTTAGAGAGGGAAGGGAGGGAGAAAGAGAGAGAGAGAGAAACATCAATGTGCGGTTGCTGGGGGCCGTGGCCTGCAACCCAGGCATGTGCCCTGACTGGGAATCAAACCTGCGATGCTTTGGTTCGCAGCCCATGCTCAATCCACTGAGCTACACCAGCCAGGGCTAAATTACTTAATTTTTAAAGGCTTGAAGTATTAAACAGAATTATTCAATTTTTTAAAGGCTTGAAGTGTAAAAACTTAATTTATTTATGGAATCTAATTAAGATCACTTTAAAAGAGTAAGATGGACTGTTCATTTGCTTCGAGGAATATTATTTGAATGCATAAGATCCTCTAAATACTGTTTTTGAGTCATGACAGATACCATGAATGTCTGTTCTACCTCTGGTTTGAAAAAAAGGCATCAAAAGCTATTGGTAAATGAGTATAAATTTACAACAAATATCTTTTTCTTGAGATTCAGTTAACTGTTTCATATTCTCTAACCAATATTTTAGAAAGTGCTTTGTTTTAGAAAATGAAAAGCAAAACATTCTAAAGAAACATCACCTAATTCTTTTCCCTCCAGGGCAAGTGCCATTAATTTTTTTCTGTTTTTTTATTGTCATAAAGTTTTATACAGTTGAGGGTCTACTGTAGATACACTTTTTCTATCTTTCTTATGTCATGTCACATTATAACAAGCATTTGCACATATTTACCTATTCCCAGCATTGTTTTTAATGACTACAAAATATTTCTCTGTCAGAATGGACTATAATTTACTTGTCTTTGTTTGTTTGTTTGTTTGTTTTATAAGAGGACAAATCCACTTTTCTTTGTTTACTTTTCAATAAGTTTAAATCCTTGAGGGATACAGCATCTCCCAGATTCGGTGTCTAATGCCCTTAGTGGGGACGTTGCTTTGGTATGAGCACGAGTTGCCTTTCCTCAGATGACTCTGGTTTTGTCAGGGTTTGTTCAGTTTGTCACCAGGAGTAGCCATGTTGTTTTTTGCTTTGTATACATGAACACATCTCTTGCCTAGAAGAGAATTCAGTTTCATCTCAAGCATAAACACCTTCAATTTTAAGAAGAGCTTCATGAAATGTGTGCTGCCTCTGGTTCCTGAGACCCGGCTTATAGCCAGCAATAATGGCCTTGGACCACAGCCTTCCCGGCACATTTGTCGTTATAGAGTCCTGTTCCCAGCAGCTTTCACAGGCTCCAAGACTGTGGAAAGAGCACTTTTGTTATGTTTTGATTGACATTTTGGGTAAAACAGATTCATAAAATTTCTCAAACCGTCTTGTACACTTAACTACTGTAATAAACATTCATGGGAAAGAGACTTTTAAAAAACTATCTCTCGGTGTATATGTCTCTGAACTTTGCCTTCCCCCCAGAAGTGAACTAAAACCTTGTTACATCAACTTTACATTTTTTGAGAGAATAATAGAGGACTGTATTTGCTACATTATTGCTGTCATATTCTGTTATTGGACATATAGCTCCTACTCTGAGATTGGTTAACAATGAACATCCTCTGGGTCCAAGAATGCTGTGCACTTCTCACTTGCGGAGATCTTATGCCTGATTTTGAAACTTTTAGAGGTGATAATCTTTTGTTTCTAGCACTCAGTGACAGTTTAAATATACATATTATTTAGTTTACTTTTTTTATCTCTAAGAAGACCTTAATATAAGTGCACTTTTAAAAATATTTTATTTATTTTTAGAGAGAGGGGAAAGGAGGGAGAAGGAGAGGGAGAGAAACATCGATGTTCAAGAGAAACATCAATCAGTTGCCTCTCGCATGCTCCCAACTAGGGACCTGGCCCACAACCCAGGCATGTCCCTTCACTGGCAATCAAACTAGTAACCTTTCAGTCCACAGGTCAGTGCTTAATCTGGAGAGCCACACCAGCCAGAACATTATAAGCTCACTTTAAGGTTCACTACTGCATACATTACTTTGACACAGGGACTTTACTGTGCAGGCTGAGAAAAACGATCAGCTTTTTCTTTTTGATACAGTAGTTTGAGGATTTTTGTTCAAAACGGCATGGGGGTGCCTTTCAGCATTTTATGTGGACCCATGAGCCCTTTGAAAGGTGGAATGACTTAGAGGGAAGAATGGGGTAGTGGGGTGAGACCTCAGATGGAAACCGAGTGCTGCCAACTGTCTATCTGTTGAACCTTTAGCACATTAAGGCTACTTGCCCTGGACGTCTGTAATCCACTCCAGGCAATCAGATATTCTGGGTGAAATACTAACCAGATCCAAATCTGTTATTTTACATAGGAGAAATCATAATGTTATATGTCAATATATAAACCCCCCAATCAGTTCTCTAAAACAGATGTTGACAAATTATGTCCCTCAGGCCAGATCTGACCCACTGCCTGTTTTTGTAAATATGCTTTTATCAGAACACAACACCCATTTGTTTACTTACCACCTATGGTTGTTTTCCTAGTACAATGGCAAAGTTAAGCAGTTGCAGTGGATAAGATATGACTGCAAAGTCTAAAATAGTCACTGCCTTGCCTTTTACGGAAAAGGTTTGTCAACCCTGTTCTAACATATGACTAAAGTATGATGAAACACTTCATATATAGTCAACATCATTACACTAAGAATATAAATGTCTAAAACATTAACTACTCGACAATTAATGCAGTTTCAAAATACTTGTTTGGGTTTTTTTTTCTTTTTTGAATATGGCTTTTTTTAATAAGTCACCAAGAACATCTGAGACAGCACCCACTGTGTTGCTGGCTTTCAAAACCTCTGCTAAGGGTCTGATATTCTACCTGTTGTCTTGTAACCTCACACATTTTATTTAAAATGTATTTAATTTTGGAGGATGTCTTAGAGTTTTTTCTTTTATTAGTAAGAACCAGAAATGTTTGATTTAGAAATAAGCACTTTCTGTATAATTTGGATATTAAAAGCCAAGAGACATCCAACTGGGAAAATGTCAGCTGGGTATATATTTCATGGCATTTGCTTGTGTTGCACTTATTAGAAGCATTCTCATTTATAAAATAGGAATTAGACCTCCTCACCGGGTTAGGTGGAGGTTAAGTAAGGAAAATGTACCTCACACAGTTTGGGAATGCATTAGTGACTGATTCCCTTTCTCTTTTCTACCCTTAGCTTAATTAGAGGAGCAGATGATCACAACTATACAATACCTTCAGGAATTTTTCCAAATTCACAGTGCTTCTACACATGTATGGTGGCCTGGAGATTCAAGTATAACTTTGGAGCCAGGGATAATTAGAAAAGCCTGTGTATTTGGTAAGAGATACTGTCAATTATAATAAACATTCCCAAATCTCAGAGTTTTAACTCAATGCAGGTTTATTTCTCAGGCTGCACAGTCTAGTGCTGGCTTGTGGGGGACAGGAGTGTCATGGCTCTGCTCATGTGGTATCTTGGGGACCTTGGCTTATTTCATCCAATGACTCCACCATCTGCAAGAACAAAGACTTGTGCTCTGCACCTCTGGGCCCACAATCAAGGGTAGAGAGAGGGCATGATGGTGCAGGAGTGTTCAAGGTCAGAATGAAAATAACATACCCACTTTATCTGTTGGGCCAGTACTCAGTGACAAGGCTCTACCTAACTGCAATGGAAGCTGGGGAGTACATCCCATCTGTGTGCCCATGAAACAGAAATGGATTTCATGATCCAGGCTCTGCCACAGGCTGACCATATCTTCTTGTATTATGGATGTATGGCATACATAAATTCCACAGAGATGCCAATAATCTGAAAAACTGTCTCTAACACATACCCATGGAAATAGAACATTAGGAGACAGTAATGCTGGGTTGGGACAATTAATCTATATACTTGTGTAAATACACTTTAAAAATTAGTTTAAGATCTGAACCTACTTCCCACATGCTGTGTGACATTGTCATGTTTTGGCGTTCTAAAATCACAGATGTATTGTATGGTAAGTTCAGAAATACTTGTACATACTTTAGAAATTATGCCTGCAGTGACATTTTTATTCTTAAAGTGGTCAGTGTGGGCTCATATTTTATTCTCCTATTCTTTAAAATCAGAAGTCATCCACAGCACTGAGTAGAGTTCTTGATCAATTATGGAATATAGAATATTTGTTGATGTATAAGCACTGTTAATTAATTCAAAATGCACATTTTACAATAAAGCACATCAAGAGCTTTTTCAATTTTTCCATTCCTCTAGTAGATCTAAGCACACTTTTTAAAAAAAGTTATTTATTTTATGTTATCATATAAATATTTTAAGATTATAATTATCATAAAATTAAGGACAAAATTTATCATACCAAAAAAGAAGTTTAATTTAAAGTAGAAAAAAACTTGCAATTAAGTTTTAGTAGAGTAGAAACAGGATGTATAAAAGGACACTAAAGAACACTTTTTAAAAAATCCTCAGTAGTATAGTTTTACATTAAATTTGGAAAAAACAATTGCATCTAGAGATGTTTGTGAAGATCATATTTGTGACAGTGTCATCAGAGGTCAAACTTGTAATACTGAAAAAGCACAGTAAGGCAAGCAAACATTTTGGTCATTCCACAGAAAAGCTGACTTTAAAAAAAATCTTTACTCCACATCATATAATCAGTGAAGTTTGTATGAGACAAAGGTTGCTCTTGATCATATTGTAACCCAGAGGCCTCACTCAAAAGTCAGGATTGTCCATAGATATATATGATTAAAATATTCCTTTCAGTTTTCTTGGTACTCATGACATTTCCTATTACCTGTCACTTTGTCTTTGACAATATTTGAGACAAAAAATAAAATTCACCTGGCGAGGATGGTTTCCCAATCAGCTGTTCCGTATTTTTCTCCAGTGCTTCTTTGTTACATCAGAATTCAGATGTACTATTCATGAAACGCATTTTAATTAGTGACCATATCAGACAAATAGCAGCTAAGAACTGGTTAGTGTGTTGAAAATAAACACAAGGGTTCTCGTTAATGTCGGTGTCTGAATAATTAGTTGAGCATCCTGTATTGAAATGAAAGCCAGTTGACTTCTCACTGGAGCGATAGGCAGACAGTCACATCTTGGAGTCTGGTCATTAATGTGCCCCACCACTGATGTCATGTTACAGTGTCACATTCGTTAGTGCCCCTTTAGGAAAGAAGCCAGACCTACAAATTATCCTCCACATCCCTGGAAACCCTGTTTGTGAAACCTGTGACCAAATGTGAGTAAATTATTAATGTGGCTCATAAACTAAATAGTTTACTAGCTTATAACATTTTAAAAGTAGATCATAAAGAGTAGAAGAGTGTTCTAGTTGCTTTGTTCTGATGATCTACTGACTTTCCCGGAAGGAGCCCAGAACTGATAGCTTTTGTTAAGAGGAGCAAAAACACAGAATGTCAGAGCAAATGTTTGGAAAATATAGACTCTAAAAGGAAACAAATATAAATCCGTGGAAAACAATGTAATTAACTTTGTTCTCTCCTTGCTCTAATAAATGGATGACAGTGGTCCTCTTGCTTATGGTGGCAGTTATTCATCAATGAGTTCACCAATTAAGTTTGAATTGGTATGTCCTTTGCCAACTGAAATTATCTTTAAAAATATTTTGATGCATTCTTATCATACTCTTCATGAATAATGCTAATCCATCATGGAAAACTCATAGAAGAATAAACATTCTTAAGTCATATGAACATATTCGGCAAAGAGTTTACACTCATATAGACAACTGATACTTAGAAATCATTGTGTGAACCAATCTGGCCTGAATTTATCTCTTACCAAGAAGAGGCACTCGCTGGGAGCACCACCTTTTAACCCTTTTCTGAGCTCTGGTAGACAGACAACCCACAGAGTTTCCAGAGGTGCATGACTATTCAAATCATTAACCTTTGTACACCTCTTTTTCAGTTTCCACTTATCTGTCTGACAGGATTAGAAAACATGTACATTCATGGAATTTATCTACGCTTACTGTGGAAGGAGAACAAGATGTTCACACACACACATACTGAAGAGCTCATACTTTCTGTTCACCTTGTAGTTCCATTTCCCCATTGACAGAGTCCCTCTTATCATCTTGAGGGCCACATAGGTGGCAATCTCTTCCAAGAATGTGCAGAAAAGGCCTGGTGTGCAAAACGTTGCTACTGGTTGCTAGTCAAGAAGACTGCAACTAATTATTTAAGGATGAGTTGATTTATGTGTCAGTAACTTCAGCTTACTTGGAATTGGATTTGGTAAATACTCTAATAATCCAGCTAAGCCATGAAAGTTTGCAGCCTCAGCATGAGCATGTATGCAGGCTGACTGTTTCCCCAAGAAGGCTGAGTCATGGCTTCATTCTGTGTGACTGGAAAAGAACTGTAAATTGTGGCAAGCAGTGTTTTGCACATGTGTGTGCAGATGTGCATGTATGTGTGTGTATTTCCTATCATCATTCCACTAGATTGTTTGAGAGACTGAAAGACCAGAGCCCAAAGTAAATCAACATTTGGACCCGTGGATACCCTGTCCTTATTTCTCAGGAAAACATAACATTGTAATTATGAGAATTTATCCTAAAAAATAAGAAATAATAGTTCAAGGAACCAAACTTTCCAAGTAAGTGGCAGTTACACTTGGCTGTGTAACATTTCACAAGTACTGCTGTCCTGTAATCCTGAGTTCAGATTACGGGCTGATGAAATGGAGATTCCAGAAGGGAAAGAACAAAAATACGTGCTGCTCTACATCTATTATACATCTACATGTACTTACTGTATGTCTATTATATGTTATACATACTGTATATGTATACAAGGGGGAACCCCAGAATAATTGGAATTATCTTTTAGAGGGTAGAGTAGAGGTTTCCTCAACAAAGGGAGTGTTCTAGGAACCCATCTGTTATCATTTTACTAGCTGGCATTAATCTGAGAGGCTGCGTTTGGCTTCAGTGATTTTTTTTGAAGACTCTTTCAGTTTGTTTGCCCATTTCATGATGGGTGATTTCCAAGGCTCACCTGCCCAAATCATGCTGAATCAGCAGTTTTTGACCAAAACTAGCATCAGCCCACATACTCCACTCTCCCCTATTAACCCAGTGTTGTCCTAAGTGACTGTTTTTGTTTCTTTCCCCATATGAAAAAAAGTTCTCAAAGGGAAACATTTTGCAGATGTGGAAGAGGTGAAAAGAGCGGCAGAAACACTAAAAGGCATCCAAATTGATGAGTTCAAAAATTGTTTTGAGCCGTGGAAAAAAGTCTCGATAGGTATATTGCATCAAATGGAGAGTACTTTGAAGGTGACTGAAGTTTAAACATGTAAGAATAAATACACAATGTTTTACAAATAAATTTTGTTTTTGGGGGTCCCCTCTTGTATTATTACATATACATGTATACATACAATTCTGAAGTGTCACAATTTGCCCTATTCACTTACCCTCTTCTGTTCTTTCTGCTGTCAGCGTCCCTCTGTGTGTTGCAGTCCTGTGGCATTATGGGTGCTTCCAACCAGTGACCTCCAGGTTTTTTATGGCTGTGAGACAAATTAAATGGTAAGAGGTAAACTACACTAATATTGTGCACTACATAAAATTGTCATCTGCCTTTGCAGAGGACACAGTAGTGGATATGGGAACCACTAGGAAGGTAAAGGGGTACTCCATTATTAATAATGGATTTCAAAACTGCACTCCATGATAGCTTTATTGCCTTTAAGAACAGGATCTATAACTTGGATCATATTTGTGGAGAGCTGACCCAATGCAGGTTGGAAAACTGTCTATAAAGGGCCAGATAGTAAGTATTGTCAACGTTCTGGGCCATATACATTCTCTGTTGCAACTAGTCAACTCTGCTGATGTAGCACCAAAGAAGCCATAGACAATATGTAAACAAATGGGCATGACTGTTTCAATAAAACTTTATTTACAAAAACAGACAGTGGGCCATAGTTGGGCCAGAGGCTGTGCTTTGCCGACTCTTGATCAAATGCATCAGAAAGGGACATATGACCTATAAACAGAATACTTTACTAGTTATCAGTCCCTGTGATCTTGAGCAAACCATTTATCAAGAAGAAAGGTGAATTAAAATATACCTTCCCATAGTAGCATGTGGGTACAGCTGTAAGGATGAAACAAGACAGAATGTTTGTGAAACCCCTTACACAGTCACCCTGGTTCACCTAGTGGAGTGTGCTTTTTCACCTTTCTAATCACGCTGAGCTTTTGTGAGCTACAAGAGCATGGGGAGAGCTTTCTTGTTTTCTGAATGCTGTGGTTTGTCTGTACGTTTCTTCTGTCTTACTGTTGATGGGCAGGCTGTTGAAATATCTTTCTAGTACCCACAGGGATGAAGAGTTCAACAGGTATATTTTGGCAGGCTAAAGATCAGATGCCGATGAGGAGTGATTAAATTTTCTGTAATCATCAGAATTTAAGAGTGTTTTAAGACCTTTCACCTTTAATATAGGCCTTAATAAGTAATGGTGCTTTGCATGTCTACAAGTATGTTTGAATTTTGTAAGTCCTCCATGTCAAAACATTAGAGACAGGCTCAGTAAATACACTTCTCTGGACTAGTTATAAGGATGAAGGAAAGTCATACTTAAACAGCTTAAGAAGCTGTTTGATAATCAGAATCCCAATTCATTAATTTCTAGTTTTTTTACAAAAATAGTAGTGTGGTCTTCAGATTTCTTTCATATTATTTCATATATCATTTAAGAATTGTTGTCTAGTAACAGAAATGTACTATATTACTTCAAAAAATTGGTTGTATATTCCCTTTCATGAAAGATAGTCAAGTTGGGGGGAGAACAGTTGGTGCCTTCTTTCTGCTCTACCTGCCTATTCAAGTGTAGCTTTATTTTCAAGGTTATATTATGGCTGCTCTTTTTCCAGCCATTGCCTCTGTATCCTGAAAAGAAGAAAGCAGAAGTGCAAGGGACAAAATGTGGTCCTTCAGCCAAGGCAGGCCCCTCTGAAGAACTTTCCCTCTTAAAGAACATTCCCTGAAGTCTTACTCAGTGACTTACATCCTTTTTGCCACCCCTAACATGAGAGCATTTAAGAAGCATATCCGTAGACTTGAGAAATTTACTGTCCCAGATAAGTTCCAGGTTCTAGTAATAATAAAGAAAAGGGAAATGGTTACTGAGCAACACCTGTGGTTACTCACACAAAATCATGATACCACTGTTTCTCACATGTTTAATTTTTATTTATTTTCAATGAAATGCTGCCTTGTCTTCCAATAACTTGCATGTATAATGTCTTAATTGAATTTTATGTATTAGAATTTTAGCTAATTTACTTCTCAGCAGAGATACATATCTCAGTAAATATTTTAGGACCATAATATTCTTACTGAAAGTACCATGGCAAATCTGAGAAATAATTTTTTTTTGTCAGGAGAGCTATCAACCATAATTTAAACTCCTGGATTTTCTATTAGATTTACCGTCCTCTGGATATTAAGCTCTTGTTAAAGTTTGAGTACTAGCATGAGGTTCTAGCACCATGCAGGCTCACACCCAATTCTGTTCTTCCCAGTATGTGCAGGGGAATTTGCTGCTTGCTTGCACTGTCCCTCAAAGACTGGGCAGTGCTTTCTGCTCTGCATCTGTGTGATTTGCTGCTTTCTATATCTCTACTGAAACCTTACCTTGGAGGATGGGGGAAAAGTGAGTTAGCCCTGTCCAATTTCTCTATTCCATATTGGCCCGTATATTATTGTGAAAATTTCCACCTCATAGAATGAGTAGAATGAGACTTCCCTATATTTCAAAAGATATTCTCTGCCGTACCATTATGTGATAAGTGTTCATGAAACATGGTAGTTGGTACATTCACTGACATTTATTGAATGCTTGCTGTATCCATATACAATTAGCAATATGGTTAAGAGTGACTGCTTTGAAATGAGATTGGCTTAGATTCAAATTCTACCTTTTGTACTTTCTGGTTGGGTGACTCTGGGCAATATACTTGACCCGTCTACGTCACAGCCTCCTTATCTAGGAAATTGGGATAAAAATAAGAGCTAACTCCTGTGAAGAGTTAGCATAATGATGTTCGTTAAGGGTCTTAGCACAGATCCTGGTAGGCAACAAATGCCAGCATTGTTGGCATTACACTCCTCGGGTGTAATGTGGCAGAATCCCTGTCTTCCAGGAGTTTTCACCATCCTTTGGCTGGTTCATTGATGGTGGTTTTACTGACAGACGGTGTATGTTTTGGTCTGTTGCTTCTTGCTCGATATTCCCTTTTATTTAAGTAGAGCCTTGGGAGGAGGCCTTGATGCCTGTCTTTAAGGCTATTGTGGCCATGTGTATAACTGGACAGCCCTGCTAAACAGAACTTTAATCTGTGGGTTTCATTTTGACAATTTCCCCTAAGAGGCGTGTGGTTCTTTTTTTAGTTCTGTGTTGTTGTTGTTGTTGTTGTTTTTTTTTTCATTTATTCAGACAATGGGCCTGCCTAGCAAGCAGAATTCACTAACTGCTTTCAAGACAGTATTGCTGATGATAATCTGAAATTCTATAGGGTTTCACTTGTATAGGCTGATGCTACACAATGCTGATTTCCTGTTTTATCCCAGGGCCTGCCTCTGTGCTGAGTCTACAACGTAGGCCTCATATCCTGGGAATGGCCCTCAAACAGCAGTGCCATCTGCACACAGACTTTCAGCAGTGCCCACTGATGGTCCCCGGTGGCACTGTGTCCCAGAAATTGAGGAGTGGTAGCAACCATATGAATATGGCTTTCTGTTGAGTTTTTGAGCACTGTTGGGTGATGAAAGGTGAAGGCAGACTACCTATTGATAGGAGCCTGCAGCAGTTTACTGGCTGTGATATATCACAGAGTTGATGAGCTTGGGGGGATTGATCCCCAAACTTTATTAATACCCATCAAGAATCTCTTAAGGCTAGCAAGGTGAAAAGAGTTCTGGCAATATGGTTGCCCAACAATGCAGATGTATTCTATATTTAATACTGTTGAATGGTGCATTTAAACAAATGTTTGAAGGGGTTCATTTTATGTCATGTGTTTTTTTTTACCACATTTAAAACATTTTAAGAACAGGTGAATTTAAAAAAGCAAGAGTGTTTAACATAAGCTCTCTTTTCATAAGGTTGTTGACTCTGTGGAGATAGTGGCTTGAAGATCTTGCCTGTTCAAAAGACTATTGTCAGCTTTGAGCTATTGCTATATGGTTTCCAATATTTTATTTGGATACTGTGTTAATGTTCAGATGCAATGAAATCTTTCTTGCCTCTGACCATCTCCTCTATGCTTGGAAGAATTTCTGTGTGTCTCAGGGCTCCTCAGTGCTCAATTTAATATCTACTTCTCAGACAGGTCTCTCCTGAATCCCCACATTAACAGAGATTTCCCTGTTGTCCCTTGTCACTATTTTCCATCCAGCCTTCTCATTTGTTCCATTTACTGCAGTTCCTGTCGCTTTCTGAATATAACTTTCCACCAGGTCATAAGCAAAGGGAAGGAAGGTCTTTTTTGATCTAAAATGGCTACCTCACAGCGAATAGAGCCAGGACATGGTAGGCATGCTCACAGTCCATGGGTACATAATATATCTGGGAATTTTCCTATGAATTTGTGGTTGAGAGAATAAGAGAAGAAATAAAACCATTTAATTATAGGAATAGGATACTGCCCTTGGGTTTTCTCCAGAGTTTCCACTATACATTGCACACATCTTGACATTGTGTGTGTCCCATCCAGAATGGGTTATATATCACCTTTCCCATGAAGGCAGAATCATTTGCCATTTGGTCCTAACATGTACTGTGGGTGGTGCAGAGTGATTAAGGATATTGGATTCCTAGCTCAGTTCTCAGCACTGTCATTCACTGGCTCTTTGTTCTTGGACAAATTACTTTCTCTGGGCCTCAGTTTACTTATCCAAGGCAGGGGTAATAGCTAATAGTATTACTATAAGGGTTAAATGAGATGAAATGGGGACAGTGCTTTGCACAGGGTCTGGAACAAAATACCATACTGTTGACTTAGAGAGATCAGCAAAGTGTATTGGGAGTTAAACTGACAAAACTCATGTTGTACTTTCTTGCAGTTTTCATTTTAAAGTGGTGAGCATTGTGAAGAGCCTTATTTTCCTATTATATTTGTTCATGTTGCACATACTGAAAACTAACAAATACAATATGAAGAAGCAGTGGGGTAATCTGTTTTATATTTGTTGTTGACATGTTGGCTGATGGTTGTTTATGGCTTGTTTCAGATAATATAAGTGATAAACCTCAATGGATGGCTCAGTGTGTGGAGCTTGACCCACATCCACAAAACCTGGAAATGCAGAATTTAGGGTGCTGCAATTTCCTTAAGTCACCTGGCTAGGGATACATTTTGTCCTTAAGTTAATCAGAGCTGGTTTCATCTCCTGCCTCACAAGAGGCCATGTCTTAAATTTCTTGAAAATTCTTATTTTTGAAACATTGTACATTTGATGTTCTGTCCTGATAATTCACATATTATTTTTGAAAGAAAACTCAAGTCTCTGCAGATTGACT